CCCCCGCCATGACAGTGCGGGGCTTCGACGGGGCGGCGGGGAGCGGCGGGAGGAGCTAGGGTGAAGCACCAGCCTCGCCCCTGGCCGCTTCCTGCTGCCGCAGCCAACACCCCTGCCGCGGGGGGGAGGCAGCCTGGGGAGCGGCTCCAGCTGAGGTGCACGTTCACCCCTCAGTGGTGTGGGGCTTGGTCCTGAGGGCCGAAAACCCCGCTAGTGTGGAAAAGGCCACTGATAATCCATCTCAGTGAGCCCAGGTGCTGAATGCTGGTCGCATGATGATACGTTGCAATCAAAAATTATTTAGGAATTCCAAATGGTGGCTGGGCCTTCAGTGTGCTGGTTTTGTTTCCTGTGGGCCCCCAGGCCACCTCTATGCGGCAAACCTGGCACTGGGGTGCAAGCTGGGATCACCTTGGGCCTTGCCAGCAGGGGTGAAGGGGTCTTCTCCCCCAGGCCCTCAGAGGCACACGAGTGCCTGCCTGGTTTCCTCCCACCAAGTGGGATGTGTGACAGGGACAGCAAAATCTGCCCGGAGGTAGACGGAGCCTGACACATCTGGAAGGCACTGAAGGAAAACAAATAACACAAATGCCTGCAATACGATGTTTATAAACTTGCTTTTCTTGTAGCTTCCCAAAAGAGCCGCATGTTACGTTGCTATGAAGTAACATGAACTGTTCCTAGCTATGTTAATGGTTGCTTTATATAACTGGATGGAAAAATCCTTTCCCTGATTTCAGACAGTTTGTTTCCTCTGTTTACTGGGAGTTGGAGCTTCCTACGTAGAGAAAGCTCTCAAGGAGCAAGTCACATTTTCCAGAGAGTTATGTATCTGGAGAGATGACTAACTGCTGTAGACTGAGTCACAGTGAAGAAGGGAGCTCTGAGGAAGGGCAGAGAGGGGACTGCTGAAATGGCCATGGCAGAACAGAAATAACAGCAGCTCCATGGCAAGCGCTCCTCTTCTCTTTGCTTGCTACTGATGTGATCCCATACCACTCAGTTAAACAAGAACTAGGTTCGTTATCTTCAGCTTTTAATTAACCTTGTGAAAATACCCAGGGTTTATGGTCGTTGCTAAATTAGTCGGAAAATCAGCTGGGCTGAAGTTTGATATGTCTGAAGGCAGCTGGGTTATGTTTATGATCAAGCTATGAGATAAGCTTAGTAGATAAACTTCCGGTATCAGCCTCTTAACTAAGTATTTGAAGAATGTGTTTGAATTTGATTACAGAAAATTGCAGTCCAATTGACTCCAGGTGTACCTTGGCTCCTCACCATTGATCTAGGCAGGAAAACACAGATCCAGGCAGGAAAACACACCACAAACTAGAGCTGAGCCTCCAGGCAAGGCTTTTATTTTAAATCCTTGAGGCTGTTGGAGATTTCTCTGACCTGAGAGAAGCTCAGCTATTAGAAGAGAGCTTTCTTAAGCACACCGTTACAAAGCAAACCAAAACTCTTAGTTGCCCACTTCTTGCTAAGAAAAAGTGAAACATAGGGTGGCCTTTTATATCAAGGGTGCTCGGATACATCAGTGAGGAATGAAAGCTGAGAACCTGAGAGGACTAACTGAAGAGGTGGCAGCACAAATTCACAGGTGGCTATGGCAGTGGGAGCCCAGCTCCTGAGCTGTCTGCTTATTGCAGGAAGAAGGGATGTGGTGGAAAAGGTGCTGCGTCTCCAGAAAGGGAAGGAGGAACCGGTGCAAGTCAGTTGTTCCGGACAATGTTAGGGGGTTCCAGCTGCACCTTCTGTTGTGGGAGCAGAGATGGCTGGGAGGGAGCAAGCGTGTTTTGCGAATACAAACCCGGCTTTGGGCTATTAAAACAACTTGCGAGCCCTGGCTTGTCAAGGAAGCTGCCCTCCGTGTGAGTGTGCAGAGAGCTGACGTTGCTGCGGCCAGGCGGGTGTGATGATGAGCACCGCAGGGCCGGTTGGTGTTGGGAGCAGTGGTGTGTGCGGGAGGTGGAGTGCTCTGGCCCAGAACCAAGAGTGAGGCTGTACCTCTTGCAGCAAACAGCTCACGCTCAGGAAATGCCATCTGAGCAGTAGCCCAAACCATCCCTTAAAGGAAGGGTGCTGGGAAGAGCCGAGCTTCATTCCCAGCCTCTTGGCGAGAGATTTGGCAGCTCCAGCCCAACAGATGCTTCTGTCTGATGTTACTGCAGAGAAGTGGAATGGGGGTGTCCAGGAACACCCTAATGCTTTGGAGACAGGAGGATCCCTCTTTGAGTAATGTGGCTACTGCAAAAGAGGCCAAATATATGTGCTGGAAACTGTAGGGACAGGAAAAACACACAGCTTCGCCTTGTGCTTTGGGCAGGCACTTACCTCTGTACAATGAGGCCAAAAAAAGGCTGATGATAATTTAACCTTTTTAAACCCAGCAATTGGAAAGGTACCAGGCAGAGAGAACACCCATGTGGTGCTGAGCCAGCTTGAGACACCTCCATGCAACAACGTGGTGACAATCACCTTTTGTTCTTCACATCCCTCTCTCTTTTGGCTGTTGCTGCCGCAAGAAACTCAAAGTCTTTTTCTGCTTCATTTCCCCTGGCCCAGCTTTTCTCCTGCTCAGCAAACTTGCTGTGTGCTGAAGGACTCCTGGGGACTTTGCACCTCTGAGGAAACCTTTTTGCTGGAGGAAACACTGGGGTGTTGATCTCTGCCAGTGTAGCAGGAGCAAAAGGGAAAACATCTTTTAGGACGCGGTTTGATTGCCAGCTGAAAATAAGCTAAGTGCCTGTTAGTGACATGTGAGCACAAAAAACCTTTACAGATGGAAATAAAGGCAATGCTTTTTCCTCTTTACCTGCTCTGCCTTCCCTGCAGTGCCACTGAGGCACTGACTTGCAGGCAGCAGAGCCATGCTGTTTGAGAGCCTGTTGGATCTGGATGTGCAGTGCTCTTTGGACTCTTAGGTATTTTCTGAAAATGGTGTCTAAAAGCGCAATGGGCACTTTGCAGATCTCAAAATAGACTAGCTTCTGTCCTGAGGAGCTGACAACGTAAGGAGACAAGTGCCAGGGATGGAAGAACGGCTGCATCACACAAACCAGCCAGGGAGGTGGCACGTGGCCCACCTGCTCAGTACTTTTCCATCACATTCTCATTCAGCTGCTCCTTGGCAACTTCTAGCTCTGTCACCCTCCTCAAAAGCTTCTGCTCTGGATTTATTTAGCACACTATTTGTTTCCTAATTATAGAACTTAACTGACTAACCTCAGCCCTACTGGGTTGCTGCTGCCCACCTTTTTGTCCCCTGTAGATCAGAGGCTCTCGTCTCTTCTTATGACTGAAGGCAGTTGCTAGAGACTTTCTGACTCTTTTTTTGGTTTTGTTTTTCTACTAAACCCAGGAGGGCTTTGACTACTAATACAGGGAGCTTCACTGATTATTTCAGAGCAGAAGGGCTATTGCATTCCCAAATTCTTTAGGCCAAAAGAGAAATGCTGCTGGGATGAGCACTTTACCAGGCTGTACTCCGCCACTTCTGTCCACAAATTCCTGACAGCCAGCTCACTCCTTTTACCCCACGTCCAGCCAGAGCTGCTGGCTGGAGGAAGAGGTTTTGAAAACCACTCCCCGGCATCAGCAGTGCCACTGGTCCTGCTTCTGTTCCGCTTGAACACTTCCTGGCTCCACAAGCAGACTCAGTGCTCTAGGGGAAGGATTCGTCTGTATCTCCCTGAGATGAATCTGTGCCACAACACTCCTGAATTTTCCAGGGAGTCCAGTTAGGTGAAATTGCTACCTCTTGCACCAAAAGCTGCCAGGCTGAGCAGACCTGTTCCCTGCAGCCACCTCCAATGCCACCTCTTGTTAGCTTGCAGCCATTTCTGCCCCTTTATCACACATTTTGGTAAATTGAGACACAGCTGCAGAAGCCAAGTGGTGCTTTGGTGTGGCACCTGCCCCTAAAGCCATCTGCACAAGTAGGGGGGTCATGTGCAGGGGAGGCTGCATGAGAGCAGCAGGTATCTGGCAGGCAGCGAGAGCAGGGAGAGGAGGTATGTCTGGTGGAAAGCAGGATGGATTGGAACAAATGAATGTAGTAAAGCCAGAAGGATGTATGAGCTTCTTCTGGAGTGTTTCCAAGATGTCATACTGAATAAAGGAAACTATTTGTCTTCTGTTAATTCTGAGTGGTCTGTCTGACATTTGCCATTATACTGTGTTCCTGAGGTTGGAGTTTGGAAACACTATGATTATCCAGCCTCAGAAAGCCAGTGAGGGAGACTGCTAAAGCCACATTTTTTTTCAGTGGCTGCTTGTGAAATACTTCCTCTGGAAAAGTTGCCCCAGAAGTAGTGGTACATGAGGAGAATGAAGCATTGCAATCCTGCATACTGAAATGCTTAGTGAACTGAACAGTGGGATCATCAGCCCCCTGTAAAAATCCAGTTTTAATATTGCCTAAGGAATGGTGAAGAGACTCTTTCTAGAGAGCAATATTTATGGAAATAAAGTGAGCGGAGGTGGAAGCTACTGCCTTGTGCCAAAATAGTGGGAATTGGGATAGGTCTGGGAGGTAAGGAGCAAACAACTGTGTTTGGATGAGGGTGAGTACGAAAGAAACAGTTATGGTTGTGATTTGGGGGAAAGGGTGATGGTGTTAGGATGCAGAGAGCCAGACCTCTCTTTCCTGGAGGTGTAGAAGGAAAGTGGAGGTGAGAGGAAACAGGCTTGA